TTCAAATTGATGACCATATACTTTATAGACATAAGCACGCTTCTTCTTAAAAACTGATTTTATTTTGAAGCCTTCCAATATTTTGTTCATTCTATTTATGGCTTTTTGTTTTGTCACGGTTGGCCATGTTTTTTCTGCACATTTTTTTTTTTATATCGTCACATGATATCAATTTATGGTATACTTGCGACCTATAGTCACAACTTAAAGTATTTTATTGTATCGAGTATTTCGGACATTTGTTTCAATGAAATAATTGTGCATATGTTCCATAACTCTTATTTGTACTCTTAAAATGCTTTCCATTTATTTCATAGGAAGTTTTGATTTCCATTTTATTATACTTTAATTCAAGAAATGTAAGCACTTTTTTGAGTACAAAGACAGAAGTTGTGAAAAAGCAACCTTCTTTTATTTCGTTATGGAACATGAGCAAAACCTAAGTGATATTGAAAGTTTTGTGAAAACAACAAACGCATGAAGATTGGAAAACTTTGATAAACGAGAGCATTGGAGATCAGAGTAGGCGGTAATTTCCGCTAATTTGCTGCTGCTACTGCTGATGCTAGAGGTACGTCTTCAAAGCTTTGCTGCTATTCTGCAATGTAAATAACTTCTATAGATTTTACTTACATCAGTGTTGCTCTTTATGTAATTCTCTCCTTGGTGCAAATTAAAAATATAACATAAGAGAAATGCATGTATTAACTTAATAATAATGGTTTAATAGCGACAAAAGTTATTCATAATAATATAAGAAAATTTCATTTAAAATATCTAAATTATTTCTACTGCAATACTCATACTCCAATGTTGTTATTCTCGTAACAGCGTGGAATAATTAATTTCAGATTATAAATTGGCTTTTCCTAAAGTTCAACTTATATTGTATTCATTTTTATCTAATAAGAAAAAACTTTCTCAATTCTTTCAACAAAATGAATATTTAATTCAGTATTTATTTCTGCTTCATATATTTTTGTTTATTTTGTTCACTTTCAGCAGTATTGTTATTAACCATCAAATTCATCATCATTCGCTTATTCTTGACTTCATAAGGTTTGGATTATTTGTGATATTCTATTCAACTTTATGTATTAGCAATGCTTTGGTAAGGTTTGCAACAAAGCTTCATGGAGCAAAGAAAACGACAATAGAAGTACAATTAATTTTTAGTAACAGTTTCACAATTTTCAGGATGAAATGGAGACATTACGACATTCTACACAGCGAGAAAGAACTCAACTTTCCTGTCAATTAGCACAAACTGAGGAAGAAGTACGTCACTTGAAGGATAAAGTTTTCGTGTTAGATCAAAGAGTTGCTTTAGGAACTAATGATCAAGTGACAGTGGATGAGAGAATAGCCGATCTTATGAGGGAACGAGCATTGTTAGAAAGAAAGTTAGAGGAGGCACATCTTCATTTGTCCGATATAAAGACTAGTTGGTCAGGGAAAATATCCAGCTTGGAAACACAAGTCGGAAGACTTAGCAGACAAGCTGGTGAGGAGGGCCTAGAAAGAAGACGAGTTGAAGAGGAAAGTGAGAAACTCAGACAGAGGATCAAACAACTAGAAGCTGATATAGAGGTGAACAATGTTGTAATGGCAACGAAAGACGCCAAGCTTTTGCGCATGGCAGAGGACATCGACGAGATGGCCACGGAACTGAAAGAGCTCCGGGCCAGCGTCGATGATGAGGTGGAAGAGTTTAAGCGACAAATTGTGAGTTACCGCGATATGTAGTCATGCATGGACTAGATTGGTTTTAAGAAGATGTCCCTTAGATCTTGATATGCAAAATTTACTTATTTCTCTGTTATCAAGTGATATATTCTTCAAGAATGATTCTAGAGCAGATATAGTACCTTCGAAGTCTCGTATAACTTTTTACTAAGTCATTTTATTACACGAGTATATTATAATACTAATATAATTTACTGTATGTAATAATATTCTTAACTTGAACAAGTTTATGAAGTACGTTTTATACTTCAGTCAGCTTTTCATAATAATATATTTAAAAAAGAAAGATGTTTCGCAGTTGTTTGTGGTATGGCAGCGTTTTTGAAAAGACACTTTTATTTGATAAATGTTTATTGCAGTTGAACTTTTAAAAAGTTTTATATACCACTTAATGTCAACGGTATTACATGATTACGATATGCACACAGGAAGGCGTGCACACGAACGCTTAGAAAGCGTAATGTGTTAATTTGTAAATGAAAACTACATATCGCCTATATACTTGCATGTTCTTCTCTAAGATGCTTGGAGCTTGACGCACAGAACATTTATTTTATGCATATTTACTAGCACATTCTTTTGTTCATAATTTTTATTTATTGTTATTACAAGCATGCTGAAACGTTTATTACATTTACATTTAATTGAAATCAATATTACAAATTGACGAATAAGACCATTTTATTGACTTTTTTCAAATTCTATACTTCCCACCGTGTTGTGTGCCTTTGTACATGAAAATTAGATAGTATTAAAATATTAATATTTTTATGTACGAACGCATTTCTGTACATTTTGTTTGTGGAATAAAGAAAGAAACCAATAAATTAAATAGTTATGGTATTCTTTTTGTGCTTGTTTTTTTACCCATTTTTATATTCCTATCTCAAGCGGCTTTTTGTATATTATTATATACACAAATGTGAACACGATTGTTTTCTTACAGGTAACAAACTATATTAATTTTACTACACCAACGACACAATCTGATTACATTTGTGTTGTTATAAATATTAGGAATCCGTATCCAGATGGAACTGGTTCAAGAAAAACGTATTGTATATTTTATAGACTAGAAGACACACTGGTTAAACAGAAGCATTTATCATTTTCATTGAGAAATCAAAAATTATAGTAAAATTTTCCAAGTCAACGAGTATGTTCGAACCAATGTTTATTGCTGGTTCGAGCTTTGGAATTAATGGCACAAACGATGTCTGTTAAAAAATAACCAGACCAAATTACATGTACCTTTAACTACTATTTTTAAACTAAGATTATCTGCGCTTTGTTTATATAAATTGTACTTTTGTATACTATTGTAGATGTAATTATTTTATAACTTATAAAAAGAGTAATATCTGTCTTTAAAAAATAATTGTCCATTTAGTATGAGTGTTTTCATTTAGTAACACTAAAATATAGTAATATTCTACATAAACTATTTTTTATATGTATTACTGTTAAATAATATATGTTAAGATACAATAGCAAATAAGAACACAACTTGTATGTTTCTATTAAATAAGTTACAAACTTCCGAAGTCAACTGAAATATAATTGTATAAAATTTACATATTATATATTTTATTTGTATAGCTTATATCAAAAATATTGCTCCATGTCAAACTTACTCATGCTTTAATTAACTCCGCTGAATAGCTGTGAATATTACATACTTCGTTTTAGCTTTCAATTTCTCCGTAATAAATTTTGATTGTACCATAAATTCCAAAGATATCTATTACATGAATATCTCAGTAAATTTTGTAGATAAAAAATTAGTTCATATATTGTTAACTTTAAATATTACTCATGTTAGTCTATTTCTATTCTCACGTCAGGAATCTTCAACGAAAGAGATTGTCGAACTAAAGCAGGATTTGGAAGAAGCAAAAGCAAATCATTCGGCAGCCACCTCTGAAGTAGCTCATCTTCGCTTGTCGTTGGAAGGGGAACGAACAAATAATACTTCTTTACATTTAGAAGTAGCACGTTTAAGAGAAGATTTAGAATCCGAACGAACATCATTAGCCACACTCAGGGTATGTCTTGAAAAAGAAAGAGGAGAAAAGGACTCTGCATTGCTGAGAAACGCACAAGTTTCTCAAGATATCGAAATTGTGAGGCAAGAAAACCGTCGACACGAAGTTGAAAATACGGAACTGCAGAACAGAGTTGAAAATTTAGAGCACAATTTGCAAAGTAAAACTAAGGAGATGGTGGATGCAACGGCAAAACTAGAAGGTACGAAACAGAGAATGTCAGAATTAGAAGAGGGAGAACAACACAGAGAAAAGATGGAGAGAAATGAAAAAGTTCTCAAAAATAGTTTAATGGACCTAGAAGAGCAGTTAAATGAAAAAACTAAGGTAAATATGTAAAACAGAAGGACATTTTACAGAATATTAATTGTTTAATGTATTTTTAGACAATTAAAGTCTTGCAACAACGATTAGCGGACATGAAAAAAACTCTTCAACGAGAATTAAGAGTGCCGTCATCGTCATTGGATAGCGATGTGGAACCCTCAGCAGCAATACTTAAACCGAGTTCGTCAAAGACTGTCACTGCTAGGCATAATAATACAAGAGATGACGACGTTAATTTTAAATATCTTAAACATGTCCTCATAAAGTTCCTAACGAGTAGAGAATATGAGGTAATATTTACACGGCATAATATTAAACCCAAGCATAACGCTATTTTATTTGTTAATGTTAGTTATTTTTTAATATTTTATTTTTTCTCTATTAACAAGGCTCTTCATTTAACGAGAGCTGTCGCTACTCTACTACACTTTTCACCGGAAGAGGAGCGGTTGCTTCAAGAAACCTTAGAATGGAAAATGTCGTGGTTTGGGACTCGGCCTAATTTGGGTTTTGGGCAAACTGCTAAAGCCATACCACCCAGCTGATAGCTGAAACAATTTCCTCTTCCCATAGGTATTATAAAAGTGGTTGCAGATTCATGGTTAAAATCGAAAAGTTGGATTGCATCTGTGGCCAGCCCCAAATGATGGGAAATGTTAGAAAGATTAGCAAAAAACGAACAAATTTATATGCTAGAAATTTCATAAATTTTGTAAAATATGTAGCATTTACGACATACACATATAATTTATTCATAATGGCTAGGAACATTCATTACAGTTAACTTAAAAAATGCACCATATAATTGGTAGTATGAAAAGTTGTTTTAACTAAGATTTGTAAGATAGATATAGGATTGTTTCTGCCGATATTTATTATATACATTGGCATTACAAAATAAATTAGCATAAGACATTATACACAATATATAATTTATATCTCTATATGCATCCTGTTTGAGTAAATTACACTTTTGTACGCAAAAGTATGCATATAATTGTTATACTATTGTATTTTACAATCTTGTCCGTTGTATATTTAATTAATATTAATTGAAA